TCCACCCGAATGGACGGTTCGTGCCTATCGACGGGTAGGGGAGACTGCGGGCTCATCTCAGCTGGTCAGTGGTCAGTGGCATAACTATTGTATCCGGCGATTAGATCAGTTCCTTCTCACTACTGGATGCAGTAAACCATCCGGACAAGGGTACAACTGCCCAGATTTCTTGATACCGGGACATCCTCTATCCGGCAATCTAGGAAGATCGTCATCCGCGTCGGCATCCGCCTAACCAAGCACAAGTTGGACCGCCGGTCGAGGGCAGCCCCTTCTGATCCAAGCTCGTTCTCGCAGCCGTCCGCTTCGACGTGTTCGTGTTCAAGTACGCTAAGTAAACTGCGCGCGCGCAACGGGCGCAGTGCGCAGTTTGACGTAGCAGTATATGTGTGCTCTCGAAGTCGGTGCCGCTGCGGAATTGACTATGTGCCCCTTCAGCTTCCGCTTAGTCCCCCGGCTCACTCTCGTGATACATCGACTGCATTGACCACATAGCACGCGTGTGTATAGCGACGAGTCGAGAAGCCTCAAACTCGTGATGCAAAGACGTACATCACTTCCGTCCAACCGGTACGTGACTCAATTTCAACATCTTCCGACCTGAAGTCGCCACAAGGGCAGTCTGCGAAAACACTTGTTGGATGTTGTATCGCACAAGCCCGGTTACGCTGCCACCATCTCGATTTCGGGGTGCTCGGAAGGGCAGCGCAACTCACCTGCGAACTGTTCATCAGTGCGAAGCCTGCAACAATCACAACAATGAACCTTCGGTCCCTCGTTGCAAGACCTATATGCATTGTTCCCACCCAGGTTGCGTCAACGACGGTCCGGTTTTTCTTTCTGAATAATACCGCGTTGACGGGGCGGGTGAGTCCGCAAATATCTTGTCGCCGCGTCTCTTTTTGGTCTTGAGTTCTTCAAGGCAGTCTCAGCGCCGCTTCTGTCAGTTTGCGTTTCTGTGGCACGGGTTGGAAGAACACGCCACCATGCTTCTGCGCTCAGGGGTCCGTGCATTGCCAGCGGCCAGACGGTGGGCGCATGATATCCCATATTCAATAAGGCAGGCGAAGAAGCCGTACTGCGAGCTCCCTGCTATCCTCTCGTCAGTCAAAGTCGATTCCTCGTGGGGTCTTCATGCCGGTTAGGAAGTCTCGGAGGCTGATACGTTTGTCTATTTCAGGGTGTTCGATGCACAGGGCTCCGGGCCTGTTTCCATGGATGCATTGCAAGATGCCTCTCTTGGACATCGTATGTACGGCAGCAATTCTCTCACCAATGTCAGGGCTTTTGAGCGCGTCACCATGCCACCAACTCATGGCCGACGGGCCGCTGTGGGGCGTCTTGTGCAAGGCGTCCGATCCTCAAGGACCACCGGGTGTGTGCAAGTAGCTGGAGCCTCGCGGGAATCACGCATGACCGTCACAGAAGACATGGCCTGGCCACAGAATGCTGTAAACCCCCTAGGTCCTTCCGAAGCTCATCGGAGCGTCCGAGATGGCCGCTGCAGAGTGTTTCCGGACGACTCCTTGCCAACTCAAATGTTGGTCCGCCGCTCGCTCCGTTCTCGCGTGCAGGATTACGCAGTCCCCCCGCGCCGCCGATCTCAAGTTACGAGGAGCGGATCACCCTTAGCGTTTTACGGTGCGAGGACTCCGTCGGCAAAATCCCCGTTATGGCTGTGGCGGGGTATGGTGTTGTTGACTAAGGCACGCCACGCAATGTTTGGGCACCACCTGCCGCCTGACTGGCTTGATGGCCGTGCCATCTAGGCTCGTTATCGTTCTAACACGCAGAGCGTCAGAGGGCATCCTATAGAGTGAAAGTCGGCTGCATCCATCTATAGCATGGGCTGTCAGGGATGACAAGAATCCCGCGTTTGCTCGGAGGATGTGTGAGATACCGATTAGGATGGGGGCCCCGTGGGTGTTCTGGAGGGTAGCGGCATTGTTTCGCACTGGTGCACGTCAGCTGTCGGCGATGGGCGCCGTGGTCGAGTCATGCTGGGGCTCGGCTGTGTGCAAAATTCGCAGACTGGGGTCCTTGGGACCGTGGTTCTGTGATGAGCAGGCACGGAGGATACTCTGGTGTCGCTGATTGTGCTGGAACCGGTGGATATCAGAACAACAGGGAGAATGCGATTTGAATTTGAGCGAGCATACGGCCCAGGGCTAGTTTGATCGACTGCTACCCGAACGGGCAGGTTGTATCAACTGCATAGCCATCAAGTGATGACGCCGCCCCGCAAGCGCCCGCACGGACTAAGTTCGTTCTCTCATCCACATCCGAGTCCGCAGGACGCGCGTGTCGAACACACTCTCCGCCGCCGAAGCTCGACCAGGTGGACGTCCCAGCCTAGCCCACGTATACGCTACGCTCTTTGCCATCGTCAGATTGCGCATATGTTACCCGCGTCGGCCACCTGGCACGCCCTCTTGGGCCTCCTTCTCGCTGTCCCTCAGGTGCTTGCTGGCCAAGTACCTGTCTACGATGGGATGATAGGCACAGTCCCAAACGCCTCCACTCGCGCTACCTCCAAGCCCAGCGTCCTGGCCGCTAGCGGAAACGGCACGACCGCCCAGACTACCCCAGGGAAGTTGCGTGTCATCGAGAACAGTGGCGTCTGCGAAACCACCCCTGGAGTTTACCAAGCATCGGGGTATGGGGACCTCAGTGCCAACGAGAGTCTTTGGTAAGCGTCTCCATATGCGTGCACTTTCGCCCGCTAACCATCGAATTCTCCGATTTTCGGGCCACCCCTAATTTTGCGTATCGTGTTCACGCGTGTTCGTTTATCCATCTCCCTGATCTAGGTTTTGGTTCTTTGCCGCTCGGGAAAATTCAGACTCGGCACCTTTGACGATATGGCTCAACGGCGGAGTACGTATTCAGTCCGCTCCATATTCGCGCACGGACCGCTCGCTGAGTCTTTACGTTGTTCTTGGCAGCCTGGGAGCTCGTCCATGATTGGGCTCTTCCAGGAAAATGGTCCTTGCAGAATCACCAACGATAGTTCAGCCGTTACTTCCAACCAGTTCTCTTGGAACAATGTCTCGAACGTGTGAGTCCCACGCGCTACCGCCTCATCCAGCCGCATGTATGCGCGGCCTCTCTTCTAGTTCAAACACCTAATGTTGATCACCTGCCAGGCTATATCTCGACCAGCCTGTCGGGACAGGGTTTTCCCATGGCGACCTCAAAGTGGGCACCTCGCCTGAGGCAGCCTCGGACGTTTGGAAGGTGAGTCTCTAGAATCCCTTTTCCTCGAGGCTCCCAGTCGCACTAAAGGAAGGGCCGTGATTGATTGTCTCACTTTCGCAACAGTTCTTGCAGATCTTCTTTGCGGACTCCAGATTCTCCAAGTACAAAACCAACGACTTTGCATTGTGGACCGAGTCGTAAGCTGTGTCCCTCGTGATGATCACTGCACAGCATCGCTGACTTGCGATCGGACACAGCTATGGAGGTCACTATGGCCCTACAATAGCCGCGTATGTGCTGACAAAACGCGAGGTCGAGGCGAAGGCTAATATCCGACAATTAGGTATATCCTGGACCAGAATGCGCGCATTGCCAACGGCACTGTGAACGGCACCGCCATCAACCTGCATGTTCTTGGGATTGGTAACGGGCTGACGGTCAGTATCCATTCTCCACTCTCATTCGGAGACTTGTAACCGATCTGACGGTCATCCCCTCGCACAGGACCCTCTCAGCCAGTACCCAGGCTATATCAGCTACGCTGCCTCGAATCCGTACGTTTCGATCATTCTACCACTACACTACTCGCTTCATTCCTGTCCCTGTATGCGATCAGGTATCATCCCCTCGTGTCGTCTTTGACTCTTCAAGAAGCCACGGACGCATGGAATAAGTCTGGGGGATGCGAGGATCTGGTGTGTTTCGCAAGCAACATTCTTCTGCTAAATGCCTACTCTAACTGGGCCCCGGCCGCCGCAGATCAAAAAGTGCTACAGCGTGAACACCGATCAGGTTTGCTCAGATGCGCAGGATAATTGCAACACCAATATCCTGAACGAGGTACTCGGCCCTTACGATCCGTACTACGTCCTCAACACGTATCCCGATGCGTACCCTCCCGACCTCACCCCGTACCTCACGGACTCTGCTCTCATGCAGAGGATCGGCGCCGAGTCTACATGGGTCATGAGCAACGATGACATCTACTTCAACTTCGCCGTTACTGGAGACTGGATGAGAAGTTCACGGCCGTTGCTCGAGTCGGTTATCAACGCCGGCGTTCGGACTATCATCTACGATGGCGATGTGGTAAGTGCGATGCTCAGGGGCCGTCTGCTTATCTCAGCTGATTCGTCTGACTGCAGGACTACATCTGCAATTATGTCGGCGTCGAGGCGATGGTGCGGAAGCCGCATCATTTTCCGTCTTCCTTTACTCATCGTGCTTGCAGGTTGATGCGCTCCAGACCAAGTTTACGGACGAGTATTCCAAGCAGCAGTTCGCTAATTTCACCGTGGATGGTCAAGTCGCCGGCATATACAAGAACGCCGGCACATTTTCTTACGTCCGCATCTACGGCGCGTGAGTGGGAATTCGTGTGTCCAGCTAGCTCATCGTTGACATAAACTCCACGTTCCAGTGGGCACGAGGTGCCGGCTTACACACACGGGACGCTCGGCGTTGGTCAAGCGGCCTTCCAGATGTTTTCTCAGATCATGAGCAACAGCTCTCTCTCGTCTACGGGCTTAGGGCAGTCTACAAGCACTTCTACCACAGGTTCTGCTGCTGGCCAGCCCACCTCACAGCCCAACTCGTCTCCTATGGACTTGTTCACTTCTATCTGGACGGTGCTGGGATCTGCGTTGCTCACGCTCACCGTACTTCCCTTCTAGTCTTGGTGCAGCTTCTGTAGGGCCTACTATGTATGTCATCATACTATCGACTGTAATGTACCTGGAATTTGGACGGTCAGGTTTGTTTTTGTTAAACGGCTATGTACTTTTGTGTAATGAGCTCAACAAGCCCGCCTAGCTCAATCGGATAGAGCGTCAGACTCTTATCCGTCTGCCGAAGCGGGTCAATCTGAAGGCTGCGAGTTCGACCCTCGCGGTGGGCTAGTATTTTTGCATTGCGGTTAGGCACTTGAGGTTCAGACGCACGGGAGAGAGGTCAAGTGTGCTGCTACACGTAGAGTACATACTACACACGCTAAAAGCGTTACATTTTCTTCTAGGTTCTTTATGTGGTCCTGCCCAAAGCCAGCATCACGATCGCGTATACGTTAGCGGCGAGAATGATGAAGAAAATGAGGTATGCTAGGGACGTTACTACCCAACCGCTCGCGAACGATATGTAGGCATCTTCATCTAACGACATATCTGCCACCGAATCATGCAACTGATGTTTCTCGATAGTCACATGGAACTTCTCATCGAGCCGCGAGTCCACGCCGGGTTCACGAGGGAGCTGTATCTCCTCTATGGCATCCGGAAGTGTATCGAGTGCGGTTGGAGTCGGCGTCGTCGGTGACACCTCTTGAGAACTAGCCTCCATGGATCCAATAGCTTCTGTTGGCTTCCTGACGGACATCACGGACTTTGACGACGTCAGCCAAATGAGCGGCGCAGCTACGAACGGAAGTACGATGGCCAGGGCGACTTGGGACGCCACAAGAAGAGTATCAATGCCTGGACGTCCCACCGCTATGGCGACGACGACAGACGGAATCAGACCTATGAGGCGAGTGATTATGCGGCGGAGGAACGGCTAGAAGGTTGGTGACAATGTATGAGCATGAAGTTTGTTATTGCAGCCGCATAGACGCGCAGACGTACCGAAACTCTCCACTCGATGAACCCTTCGGAGACAATCTGTCCCGCGAGTGTCGCCGTGATGCTCGCAGTCTGGCCGGCGCAGAGCAGAGCGAGAGCGAAAATGAATGCAGCAGCTGAGGGTTGAGTGATAGCATCAGTTGAATTGTAGTTCCGAATTACGTGAAGTGTTCCAGTTACCGCACCTTTACCGATATGCGCCTTGATCAAATCATGAGCGTCGAAGAGGCCCGCAGGAACGCTGGATGCGGTTGATGCGTCCTTGAAGAAGACAGTCGCCGCTATCACGAGAATCCTAGCCCAAACGCTGAGGATGCATGCGCCACCTGGTTTCAGGAAGATACTCACGCGGAGTTTATTGGCACGGCAACGGCCAACAGGCTTACGATCACATCGACCAATCCATGGGAAAGGTGTGCCCGGATGAATGCGAGCTCGTTATTCTCTCGACCGAACTTGTCGCGGTAGTCCCTTGATGCAGCGATACGCTCGGCACGCGAAATGGCGAACAGGGATTGGAACCAGGCCCTCAATCTCCCCCGAAAGTTCGAGGGTGGTGGTGTCATCGTGGGGTTGGGTAGAACTGGCTCTGGCCCGATCCTATCCTGAGTGGCCAGGTACGATCCGAGGAACAGTGCGTGTGGCATGACTGTAGCCCCAAGGATCCCGACAGCTACAAATCAAGGTGTTCAATTCCACGGTGACCGGAACCCAGAAGTACCGCTTACCTGTGTACAAGGCATCGGGGTTCGTCTCGAATAGGGCTTTTGATGGGATGTAGCCAAAGAAGGCTTTCGGCCAGTTGGGTCCCACGCGGACCAGAAGCACCAAGAAGCAGATGAAGACGACTGATACCTGCGTTAAGGATGATTATCTGTGCCTTGTGCTAAGTGGGGCCATACTTACCAGGGCGATGACGGTCCACTCGAATATCCTCACAGGCCGACCATGTCCCTGAGATGGATCCCCGAGAACCAGGAAGATCAGAACGTCGGAGGCAGTAATGAGCACGGATGCCCATAGGGGGATAGACGGAAATATGAGACAGAGACCGATGGCCGACCCAAGCAGCTCGGCGAGGTCGGTGCTCACAATGGCTATCTCAGAGAGCACGTAGAGCGGGTAGAGTACACCATATCGAATGAGGCGCTTATATCGGGGCCTGTCATGAAGGAGTACTCGGCAGTGAGATGCCAAATCTACAAGACCAAATCAGCACTACGATACAGCAACAAATTCGTGACAGAAGCTACCTAGGCCTGTTACGCAGCCCAGCTTGAAGGCGAGAGACTGGAGTGGCATGGTCCTTGTCAACAACACATCGCTAGCGCTATGCAGGATGGTTCAATATCGCTCACCTGCAACACCATCGCACCCAGGCCGGCCATCAGGATAACGAAGAGCATCGGTCTGTATCCGAACAGCGACCCTGCCTGGAGGTCAACGCTCCAGTTCCCACTGTTGTCTGTTTCAGTATGACATCACACAGCTCGACGCAGCCGTTGCACTCACGGATCGAAGTACGCAACAGCGCAGATGATGCCTACTCCTACGTGCTTCGTAACATGCTTGTAAACGACGCGACAGGAGTAGAACACCCTTTCCCGCCAGGTTGGAGCATCACTTATTGGCTGCGTCCGATAGACCGCGGCGCGCTCTGGATGGTCCAGGAGAGACATCTCTGAGGGTGGGGCGGAAAGAGGGAGATGCGGGGGCAGCCATGGCGGCGGTGAGTACTTGTCGGGACCAGGACAGCGGGAAGAAACAGGAGAGTGGTAGCGGGCACATTATAGCTCGTTTCTCACTGCAGCGGGACCGGTCGAGGAGGAATGGGAATCTTGCCGTCCACTGTGAGACGCGCCACGACGCGTTCGCGCGGGCCGCCGCCCAATCGCGTTCACGCGCCACAGCCCTGGTCCCGACCTCCGCTTTCTCTCTGACCACCACCACCCCGCCGTCGCGTCTTCTCCGTGGCCAGGACAACATGGACGTCGACCTGCATCCTCCAGACGACTACAGCCATCGCTTCTTTATCTGGCACGAGTGGATACAGGTCTCCGGTTACCTTATGAACGCGCCAGGACCACCATGTTCACACTCTCTGACATAGGCACATGGCCCTCTCACCGCCGAGAACGCGTTCGAATACTTCACCACGTCCATGTTCTACGATAAGCAGAGCAACAACCAGGTTCTGCGCATGCAAACTATGCACACCGGCCAGCCATTGGTGAACGAGGCTGAGGAACTCAAGTAGGCGGCACGCCGTACGTCGGGTTACATATCTAATTGGCCGTATTATTAGACGCTTCACCGGCATTGAGTTTGCTCTCGTGCATGCCGAGCCACCCTCTTTGTTTATAATTCACAAGCGCGAACGATTCTCACCGGAGGAAGGTGAGTAGGAGGTGAGTCTTGGTCTCCACCCGTTTTGAGACGTCCAATCGCACAGTCCGCCCCCTGGCCGTGTATTTCATCTTGAATAACCGCATATACCAGTCCCCGGATGTGTACACCCTTGTGTCCAACCGCCTCGTGAGTGCATGTGCGGAAACCTCGTCCGAAGTTGTGAAGGGCTCATGACATGTTGCAGCTGACGTCCCTGCACTCGCTGCAAAAGTCGCTCGACATGCTCCGATCACACAGGCCAGCGTACACGCCGCGCACAGGCTTTGTTTGGCCGATCGTCGAACCTTCGTCAGGCGATGGTTCGGCGAAGAAACGCACTCAGGACGGCGAGACAGCTCCCGAAACCCAAGACACCGAGGAGATCACAGCAACGCGTGGATTGGCCATTGACTCCAAACGCCAGCAGAACAACATGCTGCTGTTCAACGCCATGCGGACCACCGCTGTACATGCACGAGAGTCCTTCCAATTGCCCTCTGTCTCTGCGGAAGACGCCGTTCCGGAGACACCTGTGACAGCTACAGCAGGGCGATCGTCCGTAACACCGGCGCCAGGACCGGGAGGTATCGCAACGCGAGCTCCTTCACTAGCCCCTGTATCCCAAGAACCACCCAAAGGTCCGCCCGGAGGCGGCAAGAAGAAGAAAAAGAGTGAGTTCTGACGCGCCATGCATCATGTTCGGTCACTCGGAACTGAAGTATCCTCGCGACGCAGGGACGGCGACCCTGCCTCCTGCGGCTCCTTGACCACACGGTATGCTCTTGCATCCGGGCTTGTCAGGACCGGTCATCCGTCGACTCCAACAGTTCTTTGGTTGTCCCACCGTCACCAAGGCATGCCGGTAGGGAATCACTCCTGCTGTACCTCGCCACACATATTTTGGGCAATGTGTTTCGCCATGCTCTTGTCATCGTGTATTCATTCTCATGAACTCCATACAGTCACGGATGTAGCATAACGAAAAAGTAGAGCAGGAACACACGCCCCGGCGGCCTGGTAGCAGCATCGGAAACTTGTCATGATGAAGGTCCCCCCGACTCCGCGGGATGTGCGTGTGCTATCCAAATGTGGTGTGCGAATGCAGTTCCCCGGACTCGGTGCCTTCGGAGCTTGGTATCCGGGAATCGAAGACGAGAGGGGTCCAAGTTTGGTTCATGCGTGACTTATCCTCGGTATGCAATAGGACATTATCACCTTGCGCCTACCCCTGTGAGCCTGCCCGCGAGCCAACCAAGAGGTGTCTGTAGACCGGCACTGCGGGAGCCGACAGCACCACCACCGCCGAGCGAGAGCGGGTTGGCAGACGCAAACGACTCCTTGCGTGCCTTCGCGGCTTCTTGGACTGCATTGGAAGAAGAGACGAAAACATGCGTTCAGTATAGTATACAGACGGGGTTATGTCGGTAGCGGCTTACCGGCGCGGTCAATCTCAGTCACGTTCGTCTCGAGTACGAGACCGCCTTGGATGATCTCTGCGAGGATATGGTGCGCCTTCGGGGAAACGGGTGCAGTGAAGACGTGCTCCAGAGCAGTGTAGATGAACATGCTGCAACGCACCTCGTCGAAGTGGAAGACCAGGTCGAGCTCGCATACGTTCTCGAATGCGTTATCGAGCGATTCGACGAAGACCTAGGCAGGGACGGCTCGGACCCCAAGCACATTGTACGGAGAACACGATGCGCGACGCACCTGGATCAGATCCAATATGCCGAGCTCGCTCTCCGCGCTGTCCACAACAAACACAAAGTACAGCGTGGCGTAGCTCCGGTACACCACGCGCAGCTTCTCGCCGTCCCCGTCCTTCGGCTTGAGGAACGCCTCGAGCTCCGGTGCGTCGAGGAAGTTGCAGAGGCCTGCAGGCCGTCCCGAGACGAGC